TACCTGCTCTGCTGAACATGAAACAGTATCTCATTACTTTTTGGAATGTCCTATTTTTAATAATCAAAGAACAACTTTGTTCACTTCTCTTAATAGTTATGGAAACCACAACCACATTGATAAAAACATTCTTCTCCAGGGCTGTCCTGATTGTGATGGGCTTACAAATAGAAGAATACTTGATGATGTGCATATTTTTATTGGAAAATCCCGTCGTTTTAATTTTTATATGACTTAAAGCCATGATGGTATACAAAAATATACTATATATTCTATATTTCATCCAGGAGATTCTAGTTGAGCATGACTACTGTCTATTGCGTGTACTTATCATGACATTGTAAATAATTACACTTTATATGTATTAAATGAATTTATTATTTTTAATTGTAACAGTTGTTGGTAGCAGTGACCTGTGCAATATATGCACATGGACTTTTGGTCTAAGCCTGCCAATATCTGTCTATGATAGTGTATATATATGCTGAAATAAATGTATTTGTACATGTACTTGTATGTGTGTGTAAGTGTGTATGAGGTGTGTGAGATGTTTCCTTCATGAGTTACTTCCCCTTAGCCTTGTGTTATTATGAATTATTTTGTGTTATTTTTTCATTTGCAACATGTCTAAAATATTATGTCTCCTTGTTTATTCAACTTTGGCCATTTGACGGAGAGAATTTATATAGGCTTTGCCTGTTATTCAATCCAAATGATTATGACATCTTGTCAATAAAATTTGATGAAATGAAATGAACTAGCTGCCTATTTATTTATTAACTAATCTAACCCAGACGGTATTGTTTCAGCGACAAAGCTCATGTTCTTTGTTATTATAATACCGAGTGTATCGTCATTGGATCTGCCACCACATGAACTGCACCAGATAACCTAGAATGTTTTTCAGTGACAAAGCTTTTTGTTTTTGTTATTACAACACCAGATCACGAGCACTACAAAGATTAAAGATCTGGCAAGCAGCGACCTGGACTTGAGTTAGAATAGAAATAAAAGTCGTAGCGTTTTTATCCTATTGAACATTGGATTCATTATCTAGGAAGTCTGACCAATTATCGTGTTAATTATAAATAATAATATAAGGTAATATAAACGATCTGGTTTCATGATAATGCAAGTAGATTACAACAATAGGTGGCTGCATCTTTTAAATAATACGTCTATGCCTTATCATTTTTTCTTTCAATTCTTATTATCGAATTTACTTCCAAATATATAAGTGTTATATATATATATATATATATATATATATATATTATGTAGATACCCTACGGTTGTAATCTCTGCCCATGATCAGCAATCAATGTCATGAGACTCGCCTGTCCCTTTTACCGATTATTGGAAGCACATGCTGAATATAGGCTAACTGAAAACAAGCAACCTCTTTCGAAGCATTTAAAAAGCAGTAAATGCATACATTGAAAACCGTTTAATAGTATTTGAATAGTCGATCAGTAAGGTGTATACATATATGTCTAAGTTCATATAGGTCAACAGATACACAGCATGCCTCTAACCATAAAGTCAGTATCTTCTTAATCATATTGATCGTAAACATAAATTATTCAATAAAATATATTTTTACGAGCGAACATTGATGGCATTAAAAGAAATGGAAATTTAGTCGAGCGTATCGTTGGCGAAAGAAGCAACATGGTTTAGAATATTGCATAGCTTCGAGAATTTAAAAAATCGGCTTGATTATCTATCTGTTCGTCTGTATCCAGTTGCACAGGAGATATATCTGTTAGGATATACATAACCAAATAAATTTGGTTTATCAAGCATTTAACTGCGTTCAGTTGACATTTAGGATTTGCCTTCGACCGATTGACATTCATATTGCATATGAATACCAAATGAAAGCAGTTCAATTGTTATTCTATTCAGCATTTAGTTCAAGTAAGATATTTGTCATATATACCTGTGAAATAAATAGAACGGTCATCTGTCCTGAGAGGTCATTGGTAGCTATCGTCGCATCTATGATGTCGTAATAATAAGGCCGTCAAAAAGCGACTCATGGCATGCATAGTCTAAGTAAATGCCATCTGAATGCGGTAGGGTTATATAGTGACAATGCAAATCAGTGGTAAATATCAATACACGTACTTGCAAATCTATCTGATTATATTTCACTGAAATTCATTGATCATTCAACGTGTGTCACTTGCCTGATTGATGTATATGTAAAAACAATATGCAACCACTAGATAATCAGCATTATTTACAATTCAGAGCATTTGCGATATTAATTTTTCTCGGTATTTTTTTAATATCAGTTCGAATTTCTGTCATGAATTTGCCAGGATAATAATTTACTAATCGAAGGAGAAAGGTAATGGAATGAAACATTATGCAAACGAAAACATAACCTATAAGAAACGACGAGATGTACACAATTATTATTTTTTTAAATTATTTTTCAATGTCAAGAGGAACAGGGACATAACATACCTGTTTATAAGTCTACATAAGCCAACATGGTAGGGAAATAAGACTATCATTGTCGTTTTTATTCTTGTCTGGTTATTATATGCAACTATTGATTTCTAACTGGGCTTAACATATCCGTTCTAGGAAAGCTGCTTGAAACCTTCAACAGATCCTGTGGGATTTGTGGGAATTAACTTGTGTGCATTGGCAAATTATATTCATACATAAATAGGTGACACTAATGACTTTATTGTGTTATCGTCGGTAGTAAAGCTGTACGGTTGAATCATAATGCAATATTTCTCTAAGTAGCGATCCCGATGATTTGTTGTCCTTTTGTCTAGCATTCTATTGTTTGAATTGAATTGGAAATAGTTTTTCGAATGTATTCTTAGGCCTGCTGTTTTTGTTATTAATATCAACCGAGGCAATTTCATTTCAAATAGTTCATGTTCATGACATGTAGTAATCAGTCATTACCTGTCCTTAGTTAGTGATTAGTTAGCAAAGCTAGAAATACATACATAATTTAATGCTAGTACACTCATTCGACAAATAAAATGAGAGATATGTATCATTGACGGATCATTGATTTCAGTCAAATAGATACATGCATGAACTGACTCGGGAATAAATGATATGAGTTCGATTTGCCCAGTTAATAGTTTACAATGACCGGCCATATTGATTTTCAACTTGATCTCTGGTGTAGAAGGTTAATAAGTTGATGTGATTGTTAGAACGGCCGAAGGTGAAAACGCAGAATATCTATCATTATTACTATTTAATGAACATTATGGATTGGGATTTATGAACGATGTATATCTCTTCATCTGTATAAATGGAAGCATGCTGTCATATATTGAGAACTTTTGCTGGCAGCATCTAAATGTACCAGTCAGCATTGTACCTAGTTTCGTAATGCACTACGACGTGCACATGCTAAGGCAGTTATTAGCTCACCTGGCACGGAGTGCCTGCTTATCTTATGGTAAGGTGTGTCGTCTGTCGTCCGTCAACTTTTTCTTTGAACTTCTTCTTAAGAACTGGAGGACCTAGGGCCGTTATACTTTTCCAATAGGTACCTGGCATTTGATGCTATTAACTTTCCTCAAATACATTACCTTGACTTACTTTCAAGATAACAATGGTCAAATGTGTTAAAAACCTATAAACAATTTCTTTTGAATGACAAAGAGCCATAGAACAATGATATTTGTCCAGTACATACAAGAACCTGGGACAGGTGTACTAAACATTCGTAAAATACATGACGTTGACCTACATTATAAGTTATAGGGGTCAAATATGTAAAACATTAAAGCAACCTCTTTTGAATAACCAAGATGCCTACAACAAAGATATTTGTCAAGTATGTACATTGGACAGAATGTTATGAAGTTCCGTCAAATAAATAAACTTGACCTACTTACAAGGTCATAGGGGTCAAATATTTAAAACATTTGAAACAACAGAATAACAAGGGCAAAGAGAAATGCTGTTTTCCAGTAGGTACCTTACATGAAGTGCTGTATAATTTCATCAAATAAAAGACCTTGACTTACTGCCATGGTCAAAGGGCTCAAATATGTAAACATCTTTAAAAAAAATATTCTGCCTTACTAGACTCAATATATTGAAATATTTGCAAAATCAGGTTTATTTAGAATAGCTAAGTAATGTCCGACTGACAAGGGTATACACCAGCCTATGTTACTGTAACATAGGTCATTGAAAAAAATATGCTATTTTGCTTAATGTAGAAATATTTCTTATCATTTACTCTTCCCTGTTTCATTTTTTGTTCAGCTTAACTTGGCTATCACAATTCCCTTAAGCGTTAATGTATATTTGCATAGTCCTATTATTAGTCAAATACTGTTCAATTGCTGCGAATATTTTGGGTGTCATTTTGGTCTTTGCCATCAGTTTCGCTATACAGACGTTGACAGCCAATAGGAAGCAAATATAGTTAAAATATCAGATCGTATATACATATGAGAGCACACGTTTCCTATTATCTGTACTTACTAGATTACAAAAGGAAAGCAATTAAATCGGATAACCACACATAGCAATGTATCATTAACAATTAATACATGCTTTATATCGTGTACAAGTATAATTACCACGTACTCTATCATCAGCCGTTATCCCTAACAAGATGATTATAAATACATGCTTTTGATTGGCTGCTCAGTAGTGACATGCCAATCTTCGTCGTATTCATCAGTTGTAGATAGGCGTCTATGTTAGAGGTGAATTCCTACACAAGAACACCAGGATTGTTTAATTTGTGTTTACAACACTTAATATGTACGACTGCTGTCGTGTTATGTCCGTATAGCTACTACCAATTGAAATGCACGTTACAACATGAGTTATTGATGTATTGGTTTGAATTTGCAAAATAGATGCGTATTCATATATTATCGATACTGACGAGGATAATGGATATGTCAGAGTTCGGATTCCGTTTAAACTCTGAAGTGTGCGTTTGTGTGGTGTATGTGTTTATATCCTACTTAGGAATAAATTCGGCATCAATGACCTACAACAAGTACAGGGAGGTACCAAAGACGAAAGAACAGAACCACGTGGGGTCAGTGTTAAGCACATCGTCTATGAACACAAAGATTAGATGTGCCAGTACGTGTGATAACTCCGAGTGCATTTCCTTCTCCTACAACTCCGTCACACATGAGTGCAAGACGTACAGCGATGAAATATGTTACAGAGACGACGGCGTCGGGTCATCTTCACTCAAATTCTACACGAAAATTGTCCAGTTTGTCTGTAAGTATGATAAGCTGTGAGGTCTGGGGCGTGTATAATGTTTGTGGTCATGTTTGTAATCGCAGATTCGCATTTCAGCAACGCAGGTCAATCACGCATTGCAACTCTCGAAATGAAAGTGTCTCCGAGTACAGTTTTGGGATCACACAACACCATTTGCGCACGATAAACAATTGTGCGAAAATAGCGACCGCATATGTGCTCGATAGGCAGCATGGTTTTTGTATATCAAGGAATGTCCAGTGAATAAATACGATTTCATATAAAAAAACTTCTATTTTCCCTGATTCAAGTATGTAACCATAGTTTACCCAAATTTACATGATTATGACATTGTATTTATATAACAAAACAAGGACACAAAGTGTTTTAGATATACGGGCATATACATGTACATACTGTACACAAAGTTGTTAGTTAGTTGATAGTTGTTATATGCACCTGTTTAGTGTAATGTAATGGGTATACATATGAGCGCGATATGGTTAGATAGATTGATCGATGTTACTGAGTGAAAAAATCCGAAATCATCGAGTGCCATCGCATTGCCTTTAAACACACAGCCGGGCGATCGATTGTTAAATCGCACGGTACATTTACGTGAGGACGATCAGCCGACGGTGTGCACACGTGCGATTAATGTAATATGTGCGCACCGTAATATTGTTGCATTGTGTACAACTGCATAAAAATAGCCACACATTCAACAGAGTATGGTTCAAAATGCGATTTCGATTATGCAATTGGCTAAAAACTTAAACAAACGATGTATATTGTTATTTCCTTGAAATTGACAAACACAACATTGGACCTTGATAACATTTTGTTTAGAAAAAATGTACTTTAAAAAGGCCAGGTTTTTTAACCACACTGATATATGTTATCATGTCTTTCGTCAAATCCAGAAAATTAGTAGTTCATTAACAGCCTGAAATCTATCATACACACTAATCATAGATTATTTTGTGGGTGAAGCATGCCTCCTTGGCCAATATTTTCACCTATGGATCATTTAAAGAGGTTATTTATGGCTTATTTACAGTTGACGCCTTGGCGATTTTTATCTTAGCTCAAAAGATAGTATTTACTTTCAGCTATTGTTTCTTAGGTATGCATCATTGATCATTCAACGTTATAGATAACTAAATTCGCCTTTTGACTGTTGTTGTTCTTGTTGGGCATTTTTTTATAGATTGATATATACGTTGTTTACGTTTTCGTTTTCGCGGTTCCCAAGGTATACACACGCATTGAAATCCAAAGGATGTGTCTAGTCATCCGAGCAGACAATTATTATTTTAATTTTAATTGCATTCACCGAAACTCCTTTGGGAATCAATGACAATTATATTTGTATGCCATTTACTCTTTCATCTGCTTAAAATAAGCAAGGGAGTCTATCCGTTTGCCTTGCTCTGTAGCGTCTTTGTCCCAGGAAAATATTTGATCTTTACTTGAGCAGTACCAATCTTGTGAAGTGACTTATGTGGGCAACCTACTTTTGGGGTTTTCCTCGGTGTATTATGACTTATTTCGATAAACTTCTGTTCCGATTGAAACACTTTTTATCAGGCTTCATGTCGTATTATTTCTTGTCAGATGTACCTGCTAGGAACCTGCTGTGTGGTCCAATGTAGAATAGTGTGACTGGGTGGTGTTTCCTGTTTTCCTTCACTAAAATGACAAATTATATTACCTTTGAGTGACCCGTTCATATGTCGACACGTTCCATAGAATGATTAAGTCTTTGACAGGACGCAAAAAGCTGTATCGTTTCTCCAATATTATGAACGCATCACCATCAGGGCCTGTGGTACATGTTAAATAGGATACGTTTTCCATCCGGAGTGTCTTGTTTTACCCTTGTGATTTATTAGGTGTTAGCATAGTTTTCGTGTTCATTTATTCGGCGTAACTTATTTGTAACTACTGACTTACAAAAGTGCCTATTTGAAATGTGAGCTTACGCGTTTTTGACAGCAACATCCCTGCATGGTTTGTAAAAAGCCAAATACACCCCGTTATCAACCAACCATGGATGCACACTGAAAGATGATTGGTGAATTTGTCAATAAGACATACGAACGATGAACTTCCAAGAAATTTGCATGGTATGGTTGACCATGAGCAGACATTGTTTCACAATAATATATTGCGATACGTATTCCGATATACTGTCATATGAATAGTGTGCTCAATTTTATAATAAGTTGCTGTCAGAATGCTATTAAACTTAATCATAATATGGATCGCATAGATTTAAGACTTTTGTCAAACCCACCATCGATTACAAACTTTGAACTGATTACAACCACAAGTAAAAGCCTGTTTTATGCTTATTGGCAGATCTGTTTTGTAATAATTTACAAAATTAAAACACCAAGTAGAAACATTAAAACAAGTTTTTGAAAAACTTTGCGATACAGCAATATATTATCTCTGTATTGTGGTTCATTACGATACATATGTATTGCGATATACCTGCTTTCCGATATATTGTGACAGCGCTAAGTATTGCGTATCAATATGAAATAATTCTGTCTTTTTTACTTGTGTGGTTATATCATCAAATAATACCTTTGCTTACCAATGATCGACTTGCTTTACTACGTTGGTTCTGATATATTTACATTTGTTTTGAACCGTCATAATTCTCACTTTTTATAGAACACAAAGTTTATCTTCATTTTACTCACATAATCCTGATTATAAGGAATAGAATAAGCATAATTTTAGGTTTGAACGACATATTCCGAAAATAAAACTGTGTGCATAAATCACCAAGAGGTTTACACACACAAAGGATATTTTCGGTATTTACTTATACCGTATAATTCTAAAAATAATCATTGTTACCCCTTGTAGATAAATTTTAAAGGACATACAAAACATTTAAGTTCATATTAAATGATTATTCATTCACAAAATTACTGTGCAGTAATTTCATCTCCAAGCGACTTCAACCAATCAGAAGCTTGAATTACAAATAACGCACCAAAAATTGCGGAATATGACGTCATCACTATTTGGGTTGTTTGATTTCTAGGTTAAACGATATAACATGGAAATTGTCAAGACTTTGGGAAAATGGCAAAATTAAATTATATCAGTTTTTATATAAAAGAAATCTTTATGGTCGGGTTGATGTACTTTATTGCTATATGTGATAAATAAAGATATACTACTTTCTTTAACGTCCTTCACTGCAAACAAGAAGTTTGTGTTCACAACGTCATATTGTTCATGTCTATTTCTCTTTAAACTTACGTCTAATCAATCTTTCGGACAGAGTGGACGTGTTCCACAAATTCTTGCTTTATGTGTAACCATGTATACATATCAACGTTTCTGTTGTACCAATTAATTATTTTTTAATTCGTGTTTAAGCTCTTAGTAACTGTGGATATGTCCCCACTGCCTATTGTTCAGGAGTGTACACCCTTACACCTGCAACTGGCAATGTCGTGTCCGCGTATTGTGATATGGACACTGCAGGGGGACCGTGGACGGTAAGTTGTTCCGAACGTCACACCGTAGATACCAGTTCATTCGAAAGTATATGTTAGTGACCTTATCTAATATTATATAATTTTTGAAAGAAGCATTTGGGTTTTGTGATTTGAAATATCTGTTCTTCTTAAAAGTAATCGATTATAGCATTCCTTACTGTAATGTTATTATTTTTCCCTTACACATTGCTTTTTGAAAACAAAACTTGTTTTAGAAAGTGAGAAAGGTAATAACTATCCAAGTTGATGTTTTATTTTCTTCTTGAATAACAATACATACACGTTCATCCCCTAGATTATCGCCAGCAGATATGACGGATCAGGTGACTTTTACAAAACATGGAATGAATACAAGAATGGTTTCGGAAGTTTGACAGGAGAGTTCTGGCTGGGTATGATATCATATTGGTTACCTGAAAGTCTCAACAGTATGCTTAATTCCAAAACTAGCCATACTTCAAAAAGGAGTTTTATGCTGATGCAGATTTGCAAACAAAACTATTATTTTAAGGGCCTGTCACACACTATCGATGTACCAAGCCGGGACTAAACCGAAGCCTAAAATTAACATCGGCGAGAAAATTGGCATAGCTCCGGCGAGAAAGCGATATTTTAAAGGATGTTCAAAAATGTCTACCATCGCTTGCCGTTCCTCAAATTGTCGCCAATGTTCTGACAATGTCCTGACGATGTAGTACCGTTCTTAGCTATGTGATACTGTTGCGATCCCCGGAAATCGCCAATGTGCTATCTGGTATAGCTCCAGCGACCCAAATCGGCTAGGTGTGACACGTCCTTTACAAGAAAATATTGTTTTACCTTTTTGCAAGTGGCTATTGCTTTTGAATTTGCGATCTCAATTAATCATAAAGAACATTAAATATAGAAGATAAATATTGACAGTATGCAAGAAAATGTTTCGCTGCATATTCATTTTTGTCTTTTTCGCCCTTCGTGATTAGGGCGAAATCATGATTAAAGCGAATATACGCAAACGACACAATATATATGAAATGTGAATGGCGAAATTCTTACTGGGCGAAATATTATTACCTGGGCGAAGGACGACATTTTCCAGGTGTACAGTAGCTAGTCACACAAAATGTACACACGGCAACCATAATCACGTATTGTTTCCATAAATTACATTAGGTTTCGAGAATTTAAGACTTCTGCTTGCCCAGAATATGAAGCTTCGGATTGAAATGGAAGGCTGGAGCGCCCCCCGTAAGCATGTAGAATACACTACTTTCAACGTTTCTGACGAGGCTACCGAATACACATTGACTATTGGCGGATACAGTACGCCAGACGAACTATGTAAGTTGAAATTCCAGAATGTATCATATTTTTCTTGTAGACCCTTGACTAAAGTTATATTTCAGGCGATAATATTTTAAGTATTTTGGAAGTAGTTCGAAATCGTATAATTTGCTTTACCACTAAAAACATCACCGTAATCTCGCATGATGTTCTGTGATATATCAAGCCCTCAAGTGAAATATTTCAGAAAAAAAAATAAAAAATAAAACCAAAGAATTTGTTTTCAGATCAATCTTTTAATCACTAAAGGATATATAATGCAACGAATTTCATCATTGTTAAAGTATTATATATGATAGTTTATGATAACAATGCAATATATTGGTGTTATAACGATGAGCCGAAAGAGCAGCATCTTTTTTCGTTTAATTGCTTTATTTATTGGTTTCTAGAAAAAAAAATTAACAACTGAACTTTAATCAGACAAAAATAGCTGCTGTGTCTGAAACCCGCAAAAATGTCAACCTAGTCATAAGAAATTTTATATAATTGCAAAACTATGTTTGTTGATGCTATGTTGAATGCAAATTGTTTCGTTTAAATTCGTATTTACAATATAAATATGCTGGTATGTTGTAGTTAACGCACTCAATGCACATAATGGCTGGCCTTTCAGCACCCGTGACAATGATAACGACGGTTTCAGCGGCGATTGTGCCAGTAGTGCACACGGAGGATGGTGGTATGAAGCCTGCATTGACTGCAATCTGTTCGGGAATTACACTTCAAACAACGGTTATAGTGCAATGCTCTGGAAATACTTCTACCCTACTGACACGAGCTACACAGCTATCAAGACACTCAGGCTGATGCTGAAGGAGAAATAGATTCATACGTGTTATAGGACTTTTGGGGTAACCCACTGCTATACCTAATTGTTATGCAGTTTGTATAGGCCCGTCGGTGTCCACTCGGTGATTTTCAATAGAATAAATTCCAACTGTATGGGAAGGTTATTATCATAAGTGCCCGGACCCTTTAATTACTTGCTGAAACATTGTCCGCTCGATAATGTGCAATTTAAAACCGAATTAAGTTCACACTTCATTGCAAGGTTAATTACCAGGAGTGATCAGAAAAGCGAGATCACCTTAATCATCCAACTTTAATTAACTGAGTTATGCCCGTTTAATCGATTGCCGAAATCTCGAAACATTTCAATGGCTTTACTTTAAACTTTAACCACGAAAACCTTTAAGATAATCACCCAACCGGAGGGTAAGGATTCGCTACAAAAAGATTTTGATGTAATGGCGAAATGGAGTGCACAATGGCTCAGTGATATGCATCCAGGAAAATGCAAATATATGTTCATTGGGCGATCCGAGGAACCAAAGAATGAAATGTTAAAATCATACAACACACAAGGAAAAATCCGGGAATCATCGGTTCAGGAAAAGGACACTGAAGTTGTCATTGACAAATCATTAAACGTTGAAGACCACATAAGAGAATGGGTTCAACAAATCAAACTCGATGTATTTGCCATTATTAGGAGTTAATTTCAATTTTTAGACTACGCTACATTGCTGTCACCCTTAAAATGTCATGTGAGGACACAGTTGGAATGCGAAGGAGCAGTATGGTCACCGTACAAATTAGAATATGTCGACAAAACGTACAACGGCGCACTACGATTAAGGAAATTGAATCTACCAACACTAGTATATAGGTTACTTGAACAGAATTTACGACAGAGATGCAGGTAGTTTTGCTGAGCTTTGGGATGAGGAACCAATCAGAAACAGTACAAGAGGAAACTCGAAAAATATTCCCATGTCAGTCGACAAAGATTCTCAATCTCCTTTAACATCAATGACTCACAAATATTCCATAGTTTTCAATGATGCAAGCAGCTATTCATTCAACGTGTGACGGGCGTATTACACTTGCAATGAACGTGTTCCGCTGCGCGGTAACTTTGTTGTAATTTGCAAACCTATTATTCAGTATCTGTCTTCTGCAAATTACAAAGATGCATTTTTTGAATTATTTTTTACTAAGATTTACACCACACAATCGTGTGTTCTTAACATCTTTAAATGATTTTACATTTGTATTGTGCAACTTTAAGCTAAAGAAGTTAGATTTATAGAATACGGCAATTTCGAAACCTCAAAAACAGTAAAGCTGGCTTGACAGCTCCATGACTGATTCTGAGATCAATATTGAGGGGTATGCTGTCCTACGCAGAGACAGAAACCGTTCGGGTGGTGGAGTATGCACCTACGTCAGATAGGATTTAGCTTTCACCCCAGTAGACGTGACCAGTAACAATTCCGACGAATTTATCTTTGTTGAACTTTCTCCCCAAAACGAAACCTATTACTCTGGGAACCTGCTATAGGCCACCCAACCAAAATGACTTCTGTGATAAATTTGAACAAACTTTGCAAAACATAACATCTGACTCTGAAATTATCATACTTGGCGAGTTTAACATTTGTTTCCAAAACGGAAATGCATACAATTCATTATGTTCCTCATTCTATAATTTATTGAGACTTTTTTAATCTAGAACAAATCATATCTAATCCATCGAGGATAACCGACTCCGAACAATCTCTGATTGATCATATTCTTTGTAATACACATGAAAATATAAATCAATCAGGTGTCCTACCAAAATGACATCAGTGATCACTTCCCTGTGTTCTGCACGCGCAAACGACCTCGTATAATGTACTGTATTCAACATGCATAATAATGTTAAAATGCGTTCAACTTAGAATTACTCTAAAAGAAACTTTTATAAATGAATTGACAGAATGCTAAATGGAAAGATTGCTCTCTTGCTCCTGACATAAACAAGGCCTGGAAATTGTTCAGAGACCTTTTCACAGATGCTTCAGACCATGTGTTTCCCATATCAGAAATTCGCCTAAAACAACGTACCGAACCCTGGATGACCTCTGAAATACTTGACATCATATCTGAAAAGGATAATTAATTTAACATTTTCAAGAGGAATCACAATCTTGATACATGTATATGTAAGTTTTTTGCCAGCTCAGAAATAAACTTCAAAAACTTGCTAAATGCAATTATTTTGAAAATAAAATCGAAGAAAATAAAGGCAATTCTAAAAACATGTGGAAACAATATAAGGGCCTGGGATAGGAAAGGAGTAAGAAATCAAACCTAAAAACAGTTCTCAATATTAATGGTGTAAACTTTCATGATGACATTACAGTAACAAACCATTTTAACATTATTTTACTACTGTTGCTTCTAAATTGGTTGAAAAATCCCCATTGTATAAAGGCTTGTACCATTATACATCAAAGTTGTTTAAGGATGTTTATACTAAAAGAAACCCGAAAGGAATTAAATTTCATCTTCATCATGTCTCGGAAGAGTTTGTGTACATGGAGTTATGCAATTTGAATATATGTAAAAGTACAGGTTTAGATCAAATTCCTGCCAGATTCTTTCCGGGATGCGGCACCAGTAATCAAAATTCATATCACCTTTTTAATAGATTTATCCATACCTGAGGTTATAGTACCTGACGATCTTAAAACTGCAAAAGTTATCCCTTTATTCAAAATGAAGGATAGACTTCAGGCAGAAAACTATAGACATGTGAGCATCCTAAATATTGTGTCAAATTATTTAGAAAAGGCAGTCTATATCAAATTAGAATTTTTTCTTGTTAAAAATAACCTATTGTATGAATTTCAATCCGGCTTCAAGAAATCATACTCTACTGACTCCTGTTTGATCTATCTCAGGGACTATATAAAATCTCAAACGTCGAAAGGTTTATCCCCTGGTATGGTATTGTCAGACCTACAAAAAGCTTTCGATACAGTAAATCATTCTATATTGTTTAACACATTACAGTTTATTGGTGTCGAGTACTGCAATTGGTTCAAATGTTATTAAGCAAATATATCTCATCTAGTCAGTGTTAATTGGGTACACTCGTCAGTTGGTAATTACTCAACGAAGATTATTGGGACCACTTTTATTTTTGGTTTATATAAATGACATGGAAATAAGTATTGAAAATTCATGTAAATTACTCCTCTATGCGGATGAGAGTGCTATCATTTTTTCACATAAATGCCCTGAAACAATTTCATCTAAAGTCTCATTGGTTTTGGAATCCTGTCATGATTGGCTTGTTGACAATAAATTATCATTACATCTGGGAAAAACAGAAAGTATTCTTTTTGGTCCGAAAAGAAATTTGATTCAAACGCTCAAGGAGAAATTTCAGGTTTCTTGCAAAGGTCAAATTAGTAATTCTCATTCGGCTGTAAATTACCTTGGGGTGATGATTGACAGATTTTTATCTGGAGAAGAAATTGTCTCCAATATCATACAAAAAATAAATCAAAGGCTAATATTCCTTTACAGAAATAGTAACTGTCTATCCCAAAAATCACGGAAAACTCTATGTTAAGCTCTCATACAATGTCATTTCGATTATGCCTGTTCATCTTGGTATGAGGGTCTTTTTAAATTACATAAAAAAGTTACAAATTACCCCCCAAAAAAACTGGTCCGTTATATTCTCAACTTAAATAACTGGACAAGAATTGCCTTTACTGAACTACTGAAAATTAGTGTGCTCAATGTAGAGGGAAGAGTTCGTCAACTTCGTTTAAATCATGCATTTCATATCTTTAATGAGAAATGCCCACAGTATATGCATGAATTTTTCACCAAAAACAATAACACATACGGTACTAGATCCGGAAATTCAAATTTCGCTATTAAAAACGTCAAGAGTATAGAAACATCTACTTTTTTCTTTTCGGCTGCTAAAGATTGGAACTCTTGACTCTTCATATCAAAAATAACAAAAACAAACATAAATTCAAAACCAATGCTGAAAAACACCTTGTGCTTCAAGGAAAAAAAAATGATGATTTTTTTTGCACACATGTTTAACATCTTCATTCTTTGTCGCAAAATACATAAATAGACCTGTGCGATGGCGCGGGTCGAGCAGACCTTGTTGGTAGGGGGACCCAACCGTTGGAAAGCTTGACTTGCGGCATTGCACAATCATTTCAAATTTCATTTTTTTCATGCATTTCTATAAACAGTAATGTAAAGATCTGTCGGTATATTTAGTCTGTTTAAGTATTTTGATATCTTTGAAAATGACTATGTAACACTGTTTTATAGTTTGCGACTATAAGAAGCTGTCTGTCGCTATAAATAATAATTATTATGTATGTTGTATTGTTTTCTATATAAATGGAAACACAATTCTACTGATCAGTTATCTAATATGATATACACATATCCTGTTCTGTGCCATCTGAACCGTTACCGGTTTTCTTCCATTTTTAAACGACCCCATTGGAAATAAGCCACTTTGTGGGTTTTATGGGTAATCCTAGGTCAATGGCACACACCACTCCTATTATGCGACTTATTTATATCTAACAACGTCATGTACTAAAAAATAGTCTGTCTCATTTTATAGTGATATATGCCTTTATTTTTTACAGTGTATTAGACTTTCTTTTGTTTTTAGATTTTTATACTCTTTGATATATGTCAAGGATTGAATTAAGAAATCTTTTATTATAATATATCTATTGTTATTCTCAGTCTTAATACAAAGTATTCTTTTTATTTACAAGCTGGGGTGGGGGG